CGGGGTGTCTTCTGCATGCCGACATCCTCAAATGACTCCTGTCCCCATCACGGCATGGCAGTGGTGGCCCAACACATCTGCAAGGTTTTGTGATAAGGAAGACCGCTGTCAATTGGGGTGCAGACCTGTTTTGGGGTAGGGGTGGATTTCACAGTGCCCTGCACAAGGGGAGGTCCAGGAGAATGGCTCCTTCCCTGAGATGACCCCCTCCCCACCTCCCACCTCCAGTTTTCTTCTGCTGTAGGAAAATCCACCCAGCTCCTGAGTTATGTTTCTTGGTCTCCTTATAATGTGGCAGATCCTTGGGGACTCCTTTTCATCTACTCTGTGAAGATAATACGCAGAGAAAGGTGTGCTGCCAAGAATAAGAATACTTCATGCTGAGAAAATGAATCAGTATTAAGCAAGGTTGTGTGTTGGCAGAGTTCAGCAGGGGCACCGATTTAATCTCCCCAACAGGACTTGGTCACTGCTAACTTCTGAAACTTCATCCGGGGTTGCCTTCAAGCATTCATTTCTGCTCTTGACAACTTTAACGATGACAAACTTGTTTGTAAAATAATGAAAATAAAATATTCTCAGCAGGTTGCTATGTTTTGTACTTGTACTAGCAACGTAACAACACACAGGACCTTGACTGTAAGCAACATTTGCCACTCTTCCTTGGTTCCCAGCGTGAGACATCATGAATTGCGATGTGTGGTTGCTGAAAATATTTTGTCTTTTCCAGGTTTGCATCCTGTCAATGTGGCGCTTGGTTTGTAGGCAGTGTAGTTAGCTGATTGTGTATTTCCCTGGCAATCACTAGCTTCACCGTCATCAAAACAAGACGCTGGATCCTTTCACGAGGGACCTCCACACTGCAGAGAAAAAGCCGGACAGCCAGTTGCTGGCATGAATCTGAAGAATTGCTGTCTTTGTTCAGAATATCCTGTGTCATCTTTGAGGCCCTCAATTTACCAGTCAGCAAGACAGTGGGACTTTCAGAGATGCTGCCAGCACAAGGAAGCTCTTAGAAGGGGGTCTCCAGTGACCTGTGACCCGCACTGTTAGGGGTCGCTGAGGCTGTCGCTCACGACTGTTTCATCGGCTGGCTCTGAGGATCTCTGCCAGCTTCTGCTGATTGTTTGGGCAAGAGTACAGAGTCAGCATCCACTATCTGCCACGGTGGGGGAGACGAGTCTAAGACCAGCTGGTGTTGGAAAGCATCTAAGGTGTTCCAGAGAAGATTGTCTGCTGAAAGGCCATCCGCCTGGCAGGCAATGTTTTGCATGGGGACAAAGCTTTTATATCATGCCCTGTAGAAGCAGACCTATTCCTTGAGTCACATAACTGGATTCTAGAGTCTGAACACTGGTGGGTGTTTAATGCTGTCCAGGGGGTGCCTCTGGACAGCACAGGCTGAGGTTCCTTAGCAGTCATGTTGTTTCTTTAATATGGGAGATAAAGCAAAGATTAGTGCTCGGAGCTTTAGTTACTCATGGTGTCCTATAAGTTAACATTTGCTCTTTGGGACTTTGGCCTGTTGACCGACATCATAAGCAGAATATGAACAGGGCTGGATTAATTTCTAGGATACATAGATCACGGAGTAGGTTTCCCAATTGGTTGTAACTACCGAGGGATTTCCCAGTGTCTCTTGTACCTGTTTCACTGACTAAATTCCACACATCCTGGATTTGTCACAAGGAGCAACCCCTTTCCAGGATGGAGGACACTTTAAATAGCCTGACCGTTGTGTGGACGCCTTTGCAGTGGGAGAGGCTGACAGAGGTGAAGCAAGCGGGGCTAGTCCATGCCCAATTTCTGCACATAAGCAATGCGCAAAGGTGCCACTGTGGTTTCATGCGTTGCTAGCTCATTGCCCGCGGGAACTGCCAGGTCAATTTTTCCTGGTCTGAGTCTCTTGCAGCTACTGAAGACAATGTGATTGTTCCAGAACAGAGGATTAGCTACGCCACTGTGAGAATAAGGCATGGATGGCATTTTTCACGCCAGGGGTAGAAAGGGGAAAGCACAATTGTGGATTTTGGCGGAGGGAGGCTAGGATGTACACTCAGGTGCAAAGACCTGCTTCCTGCGTGCATTTACTTTTCAATAGCAAAGAAGCAGTATGTTTCAGGAGCTTCTGCCGTGGTTCTTTTCCATACCCCATCATAAAATGGCAAGGACATCCCTGCTTCTTTTAAGCAAAGGTTTTGTGCCTTTAGCATGCACTCCGAATGTGAAGACAGATGGACTGCTTACAGAGTAAGACTTTGCAATTTTGTAATGGCTTGTTTTTTGTACTTTGTAATACCAAGTATGTGTTACGAGAATGTATGTCATACAAAGTACGTATTACAAAGTATGCAAAGTATTACAAAGTGTGTGTGAATGTTTGTAATACTTACAAAGTAGGGCTGAAGTGCCACATTTAGTGCAAACTCTTCAGCGCGAAGCATTTTGATGGAAAGGGACTTCGGGCAGGACCTGGGGCTTCTTTTTTTGGAATTATTATCGATAAGGCTGAACTATAAAACGCAAGCTTAAATCTGACTGTTAAAAGATTATGAGAGGTGTGCTCAGAGTCAGAGGAGGAAGAGGAAGAAGAAATGGCAGTGCCAGCCAGGCGTGAACCTGAACAGCAGCCTCGTTACCAGGCAGTGTAGTTAGCTGATTGACAAAAGCAACAATCACTAACAACACAGCCAAGTAAAAGGGCTTGACCTCCTTCTGGCAGGAAGAGGCAACCGTCTGCAGAACCGCTTGAGTGGCCCGGGCCCAAAGGAGGCCTTTTGCAAGGCAGCATTCATGCGGCGTGGCGGGGAGGAACAATTTTTGTTCCGGTTCTCACGGCACCCGCAAGTTTAATGTGAGGCTTTGGATGGAAAGAGCTTTGTGCCTGGGCTGCTGTGTCTTAAATAAAACCCTGGCGAGCACCTCTCTCCTCTTGCCCCTGAAACCCATTCTGATTCGCTGTTTCGTTCGTTTGTTTCTCTCCACACCACTGTATGAATTTGGAAGAACGCCATCCATTTGGATGGCAGGTGGTATTGTTGGGTGGCGGTTTTCTCTCTCTGCTCCACCCCCATTTTTTTCACATGACGCAGAGTTCCACAGAACGTACGAGTGTGCACAGTTTTCGTGAAATTTTGGTTATTTCTAATAAAGGCATTGCCCCAGCGTGTGTGTTGGATCATTTTCCGCATGGACCAGTATGCCTTTTTTTTTCTCCCTATGGTTAAAGCACCGTTACTGGTGTCCAAAGGGGTTTCTGTTTATCAGCACAGTTTGGCCTCAGGCAATGACTGGGTGTGCATGACACAATAACCCATCATGGTTCCTAAGCCACATGGGTTAGTGGGTCATCCAAGCCTAGTGTTCTTCTGGAATGGTGGTTTAGTCGCTTGTCTGGGGATTTAATTAACCCACCATGGCTCAGCATGTGCTTTGAACCAGGATGTCGTGCTTCCGCTGTACAGTCTGGTTTTAGAACATGGAGAAAGGAGAAAACACACAGCGCAGCATCTGTTGACTAACAGGTCCATGTCCCGGTGTGCATGCACCCAAAATAGACAACATGGGAAGGTTTTCTTTTAAAGGATTTATTCTTGAGAATAATCAGCTACCAACAAATTTTTCCTGATGGCACAAGCGAGCAGTCCCTAGCTGGCCCTTTTATACATTGATCATTAGAAGGTTACTCGTAATACAGTTAGTGCCTTCCAATAGGTTGTAGAAGTTAAATGTTACAATGGAGGGATCTTTCCCAGTCGCATGCCAAAGAAGAGGCGCTGAAGGAGCTGGGGAGACGGGATGCTATTGCATGGAAGAGGAGGAGGCTGGGCTGGGCTGGGCTGGGCTGGGCTGGGCTGGTGTGACTTCCCCTTGGCCTGAGCTGCTGTTATCTGCTGAGTGCCAGCTCGTTTTCTCTGGACTGGTGCCTGGTCAGTGTCAGCTCTATTTCAAGGATGCACAAATGCTGGTTTCTCGAAAAGAGGGTTTTTCTCAGGCCTGTTGATTGCATGTTTTACCAATGAAAGTTGCACCTACTGATTTGTACATCACATCCATGGGGCAAGATGCTGGCCACAGATCACTCTAGCCAACCTGGGATGAAGGGCCAGGACCCACTCAAGGAGGAGCATGCCTTTTTTTCAAGGATCCGGGGACCAGCGCAAGCAAAACAGCACATGCCCATGGGGTGGCACCGACTTCCAGCAGTGCTCCAGCAGTCACCACCAGAAACAGCTTCTTGCACAGGTCTTGCACTTGTCTGAGAGGAGCTTTTTAGTCTGTGCCCGGGACCGCGATCTCCGCAACTTTCATGTATGTCTGCCAAGGGTAATAAAGCGAGGCAAGGGAAAGGGCAACCCTCTTGGGACCGGCCTCGGTGAAATGGGAGGTGGTGGTGCTGCTGCTGCTGCTGCTTCTTGGAAGGCCTACCAAGGTCTAGTCTGGACCAGAAATTGTGGAACAACTTTGAGCGAGGTGAGTTTGGCCATGGGGGGGGGGGGTTGACGCATCATCTTGTTCCTCCCCAAAGTGTGGGGCGATTCATGGGATCACAGCTGTCCAGTGCTCTGTGAGGGGCAGGGCAAGGCCCTGCCAAGGATGCGGGATGACTTTGGGGGTGTGGATGGGGCTTCAGGTGCAGCCCCTAAAATAGGGCATTTTTGGACACCTCCAGGCTCGGCTTCCTCCCACACGGTCCCGTTTCCAACAGGAAATGGGGCGCCAGGCGAGGCTGGCCCACCCCTCGGCCCCGGGGCCAGCCAAGCCCTGACCCCCCCGGGAGGCGCGCGCCCGGCATCCTGAGCAGGGGGAACGCGGGCCGCGAGACCCCGCGGTCGCCGCCAGCCGCGGCGCTCGTTGGGGAGCGCGGCTCCGAGGCGGCCGGCAGAGGGCGCTGCGCGGTGGGGCGCCTCGCGGGCGGCGGGCGTGTGGGCGTGGCGGGGCGCCTCGCGGGCGGTGGGCGTGGCGGGGCGCCTCGCGGCGGGGCGGGGTCGGGGGCCAAGATGGCGGCGGGGAGGCCGCCGGCGGGCGCTGCGCTGGTCTTCTCGGGCTGCAGCCAGCAGGACGCGGCGCTGGCCAAGTCCTTCTGGAACTCGGTCACGCTGCAGCCGCCGCTGGAGTCGCGCCTGGTGCCGCGGAGGGATTCGGACGGCGGCGGCGGCGCGGGCTCGCGGAAGGGCTCCGGGGTGGGCGCGGGGACGCGCGGCTCCCGCGAGGGGAGCCTCGAGCAGCGCAGCGGCGTCGCCCGGCTGGGCTCCCGGCTCGCCGCCCTGCAGAGCCAGATGTCTTCGTGCGGCTCCAGCCAGGGTGCGAGAGCGCGTCCGCCTGGGCTTCCGTAGAGTGGCGGGGCCCCTGGGCATGTGCAGAGCGCGAAAGGGCTGCTGTGTCGGGCTTCCTCGGCCTTCGTCAGCCCGGGCTCCCGTGCTGCGGAAGTGGGGCACAGCGCTCCTGAGTGCGTGCAGAGGGCGGGTCCCCCAACCCACACACACAGTTTCCAGATGTCACTCTCTTCTCTTCTACTCCGTGTCTAACACCTGCTTCTCCTCCGAACTTTCTCTGCCCGCGGTTCTTTCCGAGTTACCAAATCCTAAAACTTGGAGCAGCGCCACCCCCATTTCGAGGCCAGCAGACTTGCAATAGAATAATTACGGTCGTGATGTTGCGACGGATCAGATGCGACGAGGGGGGGGCAAAGCTCTTGCACTTGGTGTGTGTTGCGACGCAAACCGCACTTGCTCGGACCTCTTGCTTTACGCGTCTTCCGTGCAGCCCCCTCTATCTGCTTACACTCCCCTCCTGTTAGCCTCCATTGTGCCGTCTTCCTCTTTCACCGCAGGTTCTGCACCTGCCGACATGGCTAGTGTATTATTTCTGTTACTGGCATGAGCCCTTTTTATCCGCACAACAACCCTGTTGGGTAGGCTAGGCTGAGTGAGAGCAACATTAGGGTTTCGTGGGTCTGTCGGTCCTTTTCTAGTCTGACTCTAGTCACACGGCCCAACTGTCCCAGCCCTGAAGTTGCCACTCCACACCCCCTCTGCTGGGCCAGTCCCGTGCAGCTCAGAGAATCCGGAGCAGACGTGATTTCTTTTTCCTTGGATCGAAGAAGTTGGCGCTAAGCAGCTCTTATCCATTGGACAAAACATGCTGGGGATCAATCCATGTCTTCTCTCCCTGGTTTCTGCTCCTGGGTTACCACCACTGCTCATTTCTTGCTGGGCACCTGACCTTTCTATAAAACCCAGGTAGCAACTCCCTTATTTTCTGCTCAATAGAATGGCTTTCGTTTGCAGGGAATATTGGAAGTGAATACAGTCCCTTTTACAGACTCACAAATAACTCATTGTGTGGTTGTTTGTCTGTGGTGAGTAACACTTGTTTCTAGCTGACTAGGCAAGCAGTTTTTAGCAGGAAAAATGCTCTCTTTCCAATTTGGTCCACACTCTGCCCTCCATGCAGGGGCTCACGGTTTTGTATGTCTGGGTGCTGATTTCTGGTGTCTTATTTGCAAGGCTGCTTTTCCTTACTGAAGTGCTGGCACTGGGAGGTTCATAAACCTGGCCAGAGATGGTGATTTGGTGACAAATGTGAGGAAGGAGGCATTAATCCTACCTTCTGAACTTTTCAGATGCATTTTTAGTGAAAGAAAAGCTCTTCCGCTTGGCCCTCAATCACGGGAAGTAATATCTAGTTTAGTTTTAACAAGAGACTGATAGTTTTGAGCCCTTGCCAACCTGTATTATAATAGACCCTGAAAGCAAATTGCTGATGCATCAGATAAGGGTTTCCTGGCCTGTGGTTTAATGCCAGCTGGTAGAAGTGAATCCCAAGATGTAGTGCTGGTGGCAGAATGGGGTGGTGAACCACATGGTGTTGCTCCAGACAGTACGCTGAAGGGGTCATGTATTTAAACGATCCCTTTTGGATGAACAACACCCCACCCTGCAAGTTAAAAAAAATCTGCATGCAGGGGGAAGATGGAGGTAGATGGATGCCCAGTTTCCTCCTTCCAAGAATTTCTATACTGGAAAACATTTAGAAATGGTATCTCCCACTTGCCTAAAATGTTTCAGTGTACATTCTGCAAAAGAGTTCAAGGTAGCTAAGCTGATTAATTAAGAAGAAGACAGAAGTGGGTGGGGCACTGGTGGGTTTACCTTCCGTTCTCTTGCATAAGCATCCACAGCAGCATCATTCTTCCTGCGACTCCCTCTTCTCTTTGGGCCCACGCCCTTCCCTGTTTTCATGCTATTAAATGGCTTTGTTGGCCCTTTATCCTGACATTTCTGACTGTTAGTCTGAACAACTTTGAATGACTGAATAAAATCCACTCTTTCAGTGTTTTCCCTTTTGTTTTGTTTAGAAAAAAAGAAGAGCAAGACTGCTTCAGTGTTTCCCTTTTTATTGTTTTGTTTAGAAAAAGAAGAAGAGCAAGACCTGGAAGATACTGATGCTAAGAAAACTGAGGTGAAAGCGCGCTACCTTGAGAAGGTGAAATTGGCTCACTCTCCTGCAGAATTAACATGTTTGAGGTTTCGACTTTTCTCTATACTACTTAGCTTTCTGGAAGAGTAGAATTTAGGTTCATCATCATATGTAAGTAGGTATACATTACGCAGCATCTTTGCAGAGTCTTATTTGGAAAGCTGAAATTAGGTCTACCTTTTATATTAGCTTCATGCTGGAAAACTTACTATCCGATTTCTCTTTCAGAGAAAGAATTACATTGATTTTATTTATTTATTTGATTTAAAACGTGTATACCGTCCACTACCAAATGGCCTCAGGTCTTACAATAAAACGAAGTGGAGTGTGGCATCCATTCTCTACAATAAAACCCCACTTAAGGCTTAGATTAAAACCCCAGTCTAAGGCTTAGATTGTGATTCTATCGCATTGTAGAACAGAGAGAAGAAGATACACAAATGCGTTGGATTAGAAACATAAATTTGAGAAGAATGAAGTGGTCAGGCTTCAGCATTTCTGTGGCAGCCATGTCTTCGGGGGGAAAAAAGGTGTCTGGAGCTATATTCTTGCACACACCCCTATTCCCCAGAATGTGGTAGGGCTCAGACTAACACAGCCCTGGTCGCTAGTTGGTGCTGGGCTTAAGTAAATACATACATACATTTTGCACCTTGGCAACCCAAGAAAAGCTGGCTTTCATAGTTTGCATAACTTGTGCCCATAATTTGTGTTCAGCTACTCCTCTGTGTTACATTCTGTGTGGAGAGCCATGAGGCTATTGCAGTGGGATATAAAAGTGTTAAATAAATAAATACCCTCCCAGATTCTTGCTCCCCATCATATGTAGGGGAATCCAAAATGCCGCAGGATTTTCTGTGGAGAGCCAAGTCATTTCAGTGATGGGCCTTGCATGAAATGCTAAGCCACCAGAGATACGGTTTAATGTACTGTCTGAATGCCACCTCCTTCCAAGGAGGTTTTTGTAAGCCACCATCCAAACAGTTCACGGCCCAGCAACAAACCACGGGTTGAGTCTCATGGGTTGCCCATGCCTGAAGAAAAAAAATAGAAATTCTGATTCTCAGGAAGCAGAATTCTGTACTCTTTAACTTCATCCCACACATTGGGGGTACCTGGCCCCCCCGGCTCACATTCTGTTGTGTATTGTACACATAAGGAATCTGGTCCTTCTAAGACATTGAAGGCTTTTTACTAGGCAGAGTTAGACAGATTTCACCTTGATATTCTGACTTGTCCAGTGTTGGTCCTCTAAGAGCAAATATTCTGTTGGTTTAATTCAAGTTTTGGTTCAGGAAATCAAGTCTGAACACACTAGCAAAGCAGTAGTGAACCAGGAGGAGATACGTTAGAGCAGTATCTCCGCAGCTGTCATGGGAGGTTTATAGCGATCATGGCAGAAAAGGGAGAATCAATCTAGCCGCAACGATGGGCTGGCTGCAGAATTTTAAGTCAGCTGCTGTCAAACGATGTGGGAGGCGAAGGTTGTTGTCTTCTTCAGCAGCAGCAGGTATTTCAGTTCTTGGGGACCGCATCCTTTATGATACTGTGGCTGATCATTTGACTGTAGCTTGACTCTCTTGATGGGGAAACACCATGTTGGCTTTTTAGTAATTAGTTCTTGAAGCACGCTTTGGAACGGCACATCCTTTGCACTGCTAATTTTTCATTCAGTGGATTGACAGGAGTAAGGAATGCTACTATTTAACATACCCAAATAATGTCACGGTATGGTACTTAGTCTGCTATCCTGGAACCAGGGGATATTTCTGTAATTTTAATAAAGTGTTAGGCTTGCTTTCTTTTATTAAAAATAAAACACTTTATTATATCAGGCCTGGGAAGGAGGCCAAATCCAGGCAGTCATTAAAAGGGTCTGAAAAGTGCTGAGGTTTGCAAATGTTTCCTGCAAGGCCGCATTCCTACTTAGTGTAATTAACAACCATATAATGGATTTCATCCAGTAGCATCCATTAAGCCTACCTTGTGGAAATTGGATGAAGAGGCGAAGGGGGCCCTTCCGCTGATTACTCAGCCATTCTGTTAAATAATTCTGCAACTGAGAGATGAGCTCAGGACCGCTCGGCTTGCGCACCATCCTTTGCTGGCGGGCCTGGTTCGTCATTCTGCAAAGCCAGTCATTAGCAGAATCATTCTGCAGTGCGCCACGATGCATTGATTAGCCAGGCTTCTTCCTCCTGGGATGGAAAGTATTAGAACTTACTCAGGGCAGTTATAAGTCATGACATGCAGAGCATTTTGAGCTCTTGATTAAACCATAGAAATAAGAGAGAATAATGAGCAAACCAGGCCCAATTTAGATGCATCCTTGCAGTTGTGTGCAGGCTGCTTTTGATGTAGCTGCCAGGCATTGGGGGGGGGGGCAGGAATTATCGGGGGTGCAGCAGTGGGGGAGGGGTGTTTGGCCTTTTTTTTCTCTGATATAGTATCGATGAAAAGCATGCTTCAGAAACTACTATTTACATTGGGAGGGAATCTGTCTATGGTGCCAGTTTGTTTCCAGATGCCATTACTGGTGGGCCCTAAGTGGACTGGAATAAGGGACTTGACTGTTTGCATGCATTTATTCAAACCGAATTTCCACGAGGGGCATGTCCTGTGAATGGTTGAAAGGCAATGAAACTACATTTGCTGGAAGAATCAAAAGAATGGTTGTGTGTGTTTTCACAAGAATTCAGCACAAGAATTGATTAATTCCCCTTCTTCTTGCCCTTGAGAATTCTCCAGTTTAGTTTGTTTTATGCGAGCAGCTCCCAGGACATTCTGCTTTTGAAGCACTACTGGGAGAACTATAGTCACTGTGTATCCTCTGAAATACAGATAATCCGGGCAGAATAGTGTTCCATGAGAAATCCAAATTCTATCTTAGCTGCTTTGCTTTGCTTTTTGCTCTGCTCTGCTTTGCTTGGCCTTGTAAGAAAAATGGAGCTTTTTTCTTCCAGAACATTTCAGCTTCCCTTTTCCTTTTGCCTTAATTTGGCAAATACCACTTGGGGTGTGGTAGATTTCAGGGCCAGTGTTTGGCTCCAAACAAGTCCCTAGCCACCTCCTCCTTGTGCAGAAAATAATGCTTAGCATTTCAACACACTGGGAGCAACCCAGGAAAAAGAAACCCTCTAGCTTGTTGTGAGCGAAAGAGCCTAATAGTTCATGTGGTCTGTTTGGTCCCACGTCACCCTTCCTTTCAGTGGGAGTGGCTAAACAAGCCAGTGGTGACCCAACACTAGCACTAAGAAAGCCATGCTGGCATAAGCCAGCATAACAGATGCCTATAATGATGGTTACGCCGCACAATTGTTGGCTTACACTGGTGCGAGCTCATTAGTTCTAGCGCTGAGACACCACTGCATCATGCACAGTGTAACTTCCTACGTCGTGTCCTTTTGATTTCAGGGAGACACTGTTCCACTCATTTATCCCATGATCTGGCCTGCTGGGATTCTCAGCCCGGCCCTCCTGGAAGGCTTCGTCTCTTTTTCCCAACCACCGAGTGTTTGGTAGTTTCCCAGTCTTGTGCAGTTGTGTGTGTGTGAGTGTGTGTTTCCCCCTCATTCTAAAAGATTGCGATGGCTCTCCTAAAGACATGTGGAACTGGAACGCTGCCAGTACAGATATTTATTGCCCCCTATAGCCAATTTCCTGCCTTGCCAAGTGGAGGGAGGCCCTGTGAAAGAGCCCTGAATTTGTTTCTCTGCGGTTCATTATTGCAAATATGTTTCTTTGCAGGCCAAAAAGAGAGAGGAAATAATAGCATTGCTGAAAAAACAGAGAGAGGAAAGGATCTTGGTGAGATGAAGTGTTATTATTTTCCAACTGTATCTCTTGCGGGTAAACCTTTCACGTTAGGGTTGCTTTGTGATGTTTATTGCAAGTTGTGGTGGGCAACAGATAACAGGAAATGATACAAATGAAGTTCCGATAGAGATACTTCATTTGGCTTTTTAGTGTCTGCATTTTGACATATACCTATGTAGAATAGGAAGAGATCGAAATGCCCCAGAGTTAAGTCCAGGCTATTCTGGTTCCCAAAAAGATTTGTGGAAGAAGGCAGCTTTTCTGGAACTCTGTAAGGCTGAAGGCTTGGTAGAGATGGGCTGTCCCCGTTACGGGTGCAGCATGGTAGCAGATTAAAACAGGTGGCTGAAATGGGAAATAAAGATAAATGAAAAAAGGAACAGAAGTTTGAAATGACACAAGGCCTCTTTTTAAAACAAGCTTTTCATTTTTTAGAAAGAGTCGATATCCCATCTGCATAAGCCAAAGAGCAAGCCTCAAGAAAGGTAACAGAATTCCTAAGGCTCTCATCACGCTTGTAACTGTATTCTTTCTTGTGTAGGCCGAGCATATTTATAATTTTGACAATATGAAACTTTCCCAAGCTTTACTTACATTCTTGCAGCTGTCACGTGAGACAGCCGGTGTGGTGCAGTGGTTAAGAGCTCAGGGCTGGAACTCAGGCGATCCAGGTTCTGGTCCCCACTCAGCCATGGAGCCAACTGGGTAACTTTGGGCCAGTCCCAGACTCTCAGTCCAACCTACCTCACAGGGCTGTTGTTGTGGGAATAATATTGAAAGCAGCAGGAGGAGAATATTGTAAGCCACTCTGAGTTCTTGAAAAGAAAAAAGGTGGGATATAAATCTAATAAATAAATGTTTCTGAGAAAGCAGCTATCAGCACTGAGGATGCACATGCCGTAATAAGCGTTGACTGCCCCAAATTTTATAATCACAGCTTTAGGTGAATGTCCACTGCAAAGTATGAGATGAGTTTTGATCAGTCTAATTCTCTGAACACAAGATTCATGGTGTTGCAACACCAGCAGCCAAAACATGTGTGAATTACTGTGGAACGTGGGTGGGTGCACCTTTGCTTAAATCCAGAATGGTCCCAAATGGAATGTTATTCTTTTAGCTAGTAAGGTAACCTAGCGTAAGCTCGTGAGTGATGTAAATGCATCGCTCTCACCTGCTTTATGACGGTGCATTTGTAAAAGCAGTCCCAGGAAGACGGCTGCCTCAGCCCAGAGAGGGAGAGAGAAGCCCTCCCTTCTATTCGGCTTCCACTGCATCTTTAGTGGCGATTAATTTGAATTGGAAACACTTTGCTGCCAGGTCCTAGTCAAGCACCCGCAAAGAGCAATAATAATTATTAGCAGATTGAGCCATGTTGGGAGGGGGAATGTGGCCTTACGGCTTAAAAGCCGCTTCTCTCAAAAATGCTTCTCTGGAAGAGCTGACTTGGCATCTCTCTTTCCTTCACTTACCAAGTTCTTCATTTTAATGTGTTAATTGATGACATTTTTCTTAGACATGACAACTTACGGCCCACAAGAAAACGCCGTTTGAAGCCAGCTTTGTACAATTCCAAATCCTTTCTTGAAATATCGGCATTCCTTCTGCCCTCAGTTGCTGGGTCAAACTCACTTGGACTGTGTTCCTATGCACACTTACATGAGAGTCGGTCCCACTGACTTCAGTGAGACTTACTGCTGAATAAGCTGCAGCAGTGGATTTCGCTGAAATGGAATCGGTCTGAACAGGAGTGTGGCAGGACTAACCCTCTTTCGCAAGGATTGTGCCCAGGCTTGGTGGGACTGAACTGGTGTGCACAGTGCTAAACCACAATGCATTTTCTCTTCTCTACTTTAAGCAAGGTAAAGGTACCAGAATCCAACCTTGAGGACCAAGAAAGCGTAAAGGCATTAGCTTGAGCATTTTGATCAACATGAATAACTCGGAGAGAAAGGTGTTTGGTCCTCCAGAAGTTCTGTCCTGATCTGCTTTGGACTTCTCAGAGATTCTCTGGGATTCTTTGTCCTGGCTCTCGCTAGAGAGTACCATGAAGCAAGAATGAGTGGATTGTCTCATTTAGCTCATACATTTCTTGGTCTGTCATACCAAATAAGGTATGGTAAGAAATGTTAGATGCAGTAAACTGGTTGCGAAATGCTGGCTTGCTTTGTGTGTGTTGAAATATCAATCTTTGTGGGCTCTTTTAAAGGTAATATTTCTATCAGTTTATTACATGGAAGAAGCCTTCAGGAATAAAACCCAGAAGCAGTATGTCTCTGAGGCAGAAAGGTGACCAGGAAAATACATGTTTTAAGGAAATGTCTGTTCATAAACAGAGGAAAACATACTCACACACTCTAAATCAAATTAAATACTCCAGTTTCTAAAAGCTAGGTTTCATTTACTGTTGATCAGTGCAGACGTCTGTGTATGCGCCATTTAATTTGGTGGCCCTTACTTCTAAGTAAACATTGGTCCAGTATGTTAACCGGCTCGCTCTCTATGATGGCACAACGTAGCCTAGTCAATTCTGCCAAAGATTTCTGCTCCTGCATAGTAATTTCTCCAGCCTTTGGGCATTAATGTGTCACAATAAATTTGTAAGAGCTGAACCTACCCCTTTTTCTCTGTTCAGGAAATGACTCCACGAATGGGTAGAATTTTTTCATTCTGTCTTTAAAAGTTGGCTGTAACAACACTTTACACTTCTTGAAACAGAGATGGAGGGTGTAGGAATACAGATACTTTTGGATATTCAAGGAGGGATCAGTGTGGCTTGTTGAAATAAGGGGTCATCTTGTCCCAGCCACGTTAGCAAGCCCACAGTTCACAGTACAGCAATAAACGCTGGGTCCGTCCTGGTTAACAAGCCACGGCTTCTCAGTCCAGTGGGGTTCGGATAACATGAACATTTCCACAAGATCCCACAGTTCAGTAATAACCCTTGAAAGAGGGTCATGGTGTTGTCTGAATGCAGTTCTTTCCAGTTCACAGAGGGTGCCTTTTAGGCCCTGCTTAAAGATTAGATTTTTTACTTGTTTGAAATTAGTTAAAAGCAGCACTGCGCAATGCTTCTCCATCATCGCATCCAATGTGCTAAGATTGGCCCCAGTGCGTTAATGTGAGGGTTTTAATTCTCTGTGACTCGTTTGATAAAGTGTTTTGCTTTAGCACACCCGATGCCTTTTTCCTGTTGAAATCAGCAGAATCTTAATGTTTCTGCTTACTGGCTTCTGCAGCTTGAACTTGGATCAGCCTCGCATGAGATTTAGCAGGGGCTGGTGGTGAGCGATAGGTTCCCTCCCCCGCACTCTCTTGCTGCACGCACACACACAGCCATTCTTCATCATCCAGCATCCCATCTAGAAAATTGGTCACACTTATTCCTGGGAATGTGCAGTATTTTTTTAATGTTAGCTTTTTGGAGCCGTGAAGGTGCAGCCTTCCAAGAAACTCCTCCTGTGAGAATAGGGAGATGGTCAGAAGGACTGATAGTCATCATTTGGCCTCTGCGTCCTCACGAACAGCGGATCCACATCAGTTACCACAGAGAAAACTTTTTGAGAGCCTGGTATGTATGTATGTATGTATGTATGTATGTATGTATTTAAAACATTTCTCTGCCGCCCCCATCGCAACAAAGCCTCGGGGCGGTAGGAGTGTTCTCGTGCCGATTCCTATTAAGCAGTCAACTGATGCATGGGCTATGTGGTTCAAGCAAGCCTTCACTGCCATGCGCTGGACAAGAGCAGCCTTTTCAAACAGCAAAGGGAAAGTTGTTTGATTCCCTCCCGCAGTTGCAGGAATGCAGATGCCTGCGTGCATTTCTTACTGGAATGACCCTTGCATATGTCCATCTTGCAAGTTCGTAGTTGCTGTATGCTTGGCCCAGGGATGGAGACACGCTGAAACGGCTCCCCTGGAAAAGGGAATTTAACCTGGGTCCCACACTGTGGGCTTGTATTTTAAAGCCGCCCCCCCGCCATATTCAGTTAGCAGCCCGAGTTCGTTCCGCCTCTCTCCTCTCTTTGGCATTGGAAAACCATTTCCAAGCCTGGATGAGCGGAAACTTGGCCTGGAAGTCAGGAAGCGAGCGCACTACAGTTTCCCATCCCTCAGGAAATCAGCGGCAGAAGTGCAAGGTCAGCATTTGGCACCAGGAGCCCCCAGAAGGTGGCTTGTTGTGCATGTGCTTTCCCTGCCGCCGCTTCCGCGACAGAAACCCGCAAGAGGTCCCTGGGCCTTCCGCTGGCCCCACTCGACATGGCAGCCTGCCGTGAGGCTGTCTGTGCGGCAGATCAGACGGGCAGGCGCACAGATGCACCTGCATGGATGTGGCTCGAGGCACCTGGCAGGCGTGGGGGGCTGCCACGCCGCGTCCCAGTCATCCGGTGCTGGGGCCACCCGGCTGAGGCGTCCCCAGCTCAGCCAGCGTCCCAGAGTGGTATCGGGGCTTGGCGACGCTGGGCCGGGACCTGGGGGCGGTGATTTCGAGGGCCACGGGAGGCGACCGACGAAGGGCTTCCCTCCCACCTGCCATGCCTCACTGGGGAGGGAGCGAGTCAGCGCCCGCGGCCTCCGCCCGGATTGCCTGACGGCGGGCGGGGGGGCCGTTCACCTGGCTCGCGCTGCGCACCTGCGCCAGGCCGGGCGCATGTGCCGGGGACCCTCGAGCCCCTCCACCTGTGAGCGCGGGAGGGGCTGCGCCGGCCGCCCCGGTCCCGCGGCAGGGCTGGCCTGCGCCCCCCCCCCCCCGAGCAGCTCCTCGGCTCCTCCCCCGCCGTTGGCCCCTGGCCCGGAGGCGGGGCCGCGTCGCGCCAGCTTCTGCCGGGCTTCGGCCGGTGCCAGACGGCCGGGCAGATCTCGGCGCGCCGCTCTCGCTGCCGCTGCCGCTCTGCCGCCAGCGGGACATGCGCCCCCGGGGAGACGGCGGGGCCGCCGCCCGGGCGCTCCTGCTGCCGCTGCTGGTCGCGCTGGGCGGCCGGGCGGGCGCGCAGGGGACGCGGCTGCCCAGCGGTGAGTGCGCGCTGCG